CATGGGGTTTACGAAACAGGGCAAGCCCAATATAGATCCCCAAATAGTAGGAATTTCCTCTTTATAAGGACCCCAATAAGGTACCCCTAATATCGTAAACCTCCATGTAGTCCGCAAGGACATTCCCAGTTCCAAATTTCCGGGAATATGTCCCAGTTCCCCAAATTCCCGCAATTCCAAACATGCCAAAGATGCCCAAAAGACTTTTGGGGTTTAGGGTTCACTTCTTCTGAAACCATGTCTCCATCCCCCACAAAGCATACATTCTTGCCAGCAAATTCAGAACCCCTCCCCCGCTGAAAGCTCGTTTGAGCCTCTTTGGAAATCAGTGTCTTTTGCCAATTCCAAAGCTGAAACCAATATCTCGTGAGCAGCACTTCTTCCTATGGCATCGCTACTCTCCAGTAATGTGACACTACCCGTCCTGAATCTTGGTCGGAAAACGCCGACACTTACGTGGTCCTTGCATGAACCAAACGAAGGGGGGTTTAGGTTGGTCGACCTTCTGGAGCAATTCACAAATCGCACGAAGGCTCTAGGCAGCTTGGGCTACGCCGCTTAGTTGCACAGGTTTAAAGATGGCTGGAGATAACAGGACTACGAAGCTCTTGCAGGGGAAGTCTTGGACATCAGGATGCCGAACAGAAATCTTCCAGGGACACGAGCAAGGACTTTCACCATACCGGCTTTTCCATTCTGTGGAGCAAGCACAGCATAGACTGTCCCAGAATGTACAATTTGCATTTGGACACAGAAATTTGGCCTGCGTAGAAAATGCACCGTTTTTTGTTAAACAAAAAAGATGTTTAAGATTTTCCTGTAGTCATGATTCAAAGGCGGACAGAGATTGTATTAGAAACCAAGCAACTTGCTATAAGCACCATCTTGTGTTTAGAAGAACATTTTTCAAGAACCCAGGCTGGTCCCTGGCAAAGGCCATGTTGGCGACGGAGCTGGCGTCTAGCGCCGTCCGAGACAGCCACTACCTTACGATCCTAGTGCGTTCTCCGCTGCGTGTTCCCTAGTGTCTGCATACCCGACTGCAATACTTCGCAAGCCTAAAATTAACGTCAGATCGCAGCTCTGGCATCCACCGAACACTCAGGTTTCACTGCACATCTCCTTAAGGGAAGGAAGAAAAAAAACATGTCATTCAACACCCAACCCTGGGGGGGCAGGGGGGTCATCATTGGCTGATGACATTTCACAAACTCGACAATGGACGGGACCATGCCCTTGACCCTAGGCCTGGACTGTTTTGAGGATTGGTGCGTTTTGGGTCTTTGATTGTTGGAGATGTTCGGTTTTTGTGATTACTGAATTACAACAGCCTTTTCTCTTCCAAATTGTTGGAATTGGGACATGGCGCCATCTATTTACTTTCTGGGAGTTTTGGAACTTTGACACGGCAAAAACCCTTCGGGTCCAAGTCCCAGTTCCCAGAAGAGGGCTTACGAAAATAGGGGACCCCCAAAATACATCCCCAAGTAGTAGGATCCCCTTTTTGTCAGGGTACCCCTACTAGGCCCAGGAGTAGCCTAGGAATCAAAAAGGATACCCTTTTTGGTTTTAAGGGGATTAACCCTAAAAAAAGGAAACAAGGGCCTACTGAGGGTCCTAGCCTAACGTCGTAAACCCTCAGAACAAACGGGGGCCATGTCGGGGACCCATGGGTTCAGGGTTTAGGGTTTAGGGTTTAGGGACTGGACCTTTTTGGACTTTTGGGAATGTTTGGAACTGCTGGAATTGGCCGCGTCAGGTTTGGAAGTTTGGGATTGCATGATCCCGCGCACTTTGGAATATCCGCACTCTTGCTTTCTTAGCTTTTCGCAGCTTTTCTGCTCCGGCTTTTCAGGCGGAATCCATGCTACGTACTAGCCATAGCCCCAAATCGCGCCTGACGCGCGTGGTCTGAGAGCGGTGTCAGTGTCGAAGTGCTCTGACCCTCCACTTCTCCAGGGGCATTTTTTCATGACTACTATGTACTATTATTTGGAAGGGGCTCTCGTTTTACGGAAAACAAGTAGAATTTTCTGCATGAAACGCTGCAAGTAGCTGAAGCTAGTGTACTTTCTTTCATCTGCATTTAAAACGAGTTTTGCTTCAAAGTTCGCAACCAGTTCTTGAACTTCTTATCCGCAATCTTCTTTCTCATTACAACTATATAAGAGCCTCCTCGAATTAAGGGTTTCTGTCATGAAAGGGCTCCAAGAATGATTACAAAAGGACAAATGAAGTGAATGGGCAGGGGATAGTGATAGTCGATGATGCTTTGTGCATTCTTGCGGATGATGCGTTGCGTATTCTTGCGCGTATCAGAAAAGAAATTATGAATATGGTGTGTGCTTCCGTGAGAAGCTCTCAACACGGCCCGTCTTCTTCAGAAGAACGGATGGAGGTGAATATGAGGGTCTTCTGGAGTATCACGGGAAGCAAGACAAGCAGAGGCTCGTCAATTCACGGTTCTGCAAGTGTACCTTTAGAAGGAGGCTTGCTTTTCAAAGACAACAACAAGGATGGCGGAAAGACTTTTTCAATAGGTTCTCGAATAAAGCTATAATTTCGTGAACTTGGGGGGAGTACAAATCTATACATGTATATGTCTAGATACATATATGTAGATCTATAGAATAGATAGGATAACATGTGAGCTGCAGCAGCACTACATTGCTGGTACCCTTGCCATTGCAGAGAGTGAGTTGTCTCAGAGCTGTGTTCCGCGGCAGCTCTTCACCACCTCGGCACACACTGAAATTCTATTGAAATGCGGTTTCTTTAGTGCCCCCCTCCAAAAAAACCTTCTATATATCCCCCGCGATTTTGTGGAAGGAACACTCACCCCAAAACGGAACAAAACAAGTCTGCTTGATATATCTCACATTACAGGCCAAGGGATGTTCATTAAGCGTTTCTTGGTAGCCCTGTTCTGGGCGGGGGTTAGTTTACTTGATAAGGGAACCTTGAACCAGAAAAGGTTGAAGGCTAACTACCCGGAGCCTACTAAACCCTCACCCCCAACCCCAAACCCCAAACGCCAAACCCCAAACCCCAGATCCTAAACCCTAAACTTCAGGTTTAAGGGTGCTGGACTGCTCGACACGCCCTTAAACCAGACGGTGTGCCGCCACCGCCATGGCTGGTCCCCTTTGATTTTGCCTCATGCGCCAAAGGGACCACCAGTAATATACGGGGCCCTAAGAACTTTGAGTAGGTTTTTTTGGGGGGGGATATTATAGCATACTTACAAAGGGACCATAGGGAAATTGTTAGTAACTATTCCGTAATCTAGGGAGGCCTTAAGAATTCAAGTAAGGTCTTGGGGGATATGATATTATCGGAAGTAGCTATTAAAACCCCTGTATTATATGTGTGCTGCTATGCAGTTGTTAAGTCCTTGCGGCAGCATCCAAGTCAAATCCGCCTGCAGCCCTAAACCCTAAACCCTAACCCCTGAACCCTAAACCCTGAACCCTAAACCCTGAACCCTTAACCCTGCACCCTGCACCCTGAACCCTAAACCCAAACCCCTAACCGAGGTCCTAACGAAGTTGACGATGTCCTCTGCAAGCTGTTTGGCCTCGTCCGGCTTCTTTGGAAAGGGCCTGTGACCTTGAGTCGACATTGGTTCATGCAGGGTTTAGGGTTTATGGGGTTTATAGGGTTTCTAGGGTTTATAGGGTTTGTAGGGTTTATAGGGGGTTTATAGGGTTTATAGGGCTTACTGGGGAAATAGGGTTTCATTGGGTTTGCAGGGTTGTAGTATGTACCCGGTTTATAGGGTTTTACAGTGTTTTATGAGTTGCTATAGGGTCTTTCTATAGGGGTTATGGGGGTTGCGAAGGATGTTTGGTAGAAGTCAGCTTCTTGCTTGCGTGCCGAGCGCAGCAGCACCTGCAAAACGGGGAATGCTATATGGTTTTAATAGTGTTTTATGGGCTTTATGAGGACTGATAGACCCTAAACCCTAAACCCTAAACCCTAAACTCTAAACCCTAAACCCTAGGTTCTGCAGCACTTGGGAGACGTAGCTCGGCCCCAAGCCATCGCTGTGGCTGAGTCGAACCTCAGCACACTTCTGTTGCTTTACCCCTAAACCCTAAACCCTAAACCCTAAACCCTAAACCCTAAACCCTAAACCCCAGAGTTCAGGGACGACTAGCAACTCCTCCTATGTGAAATATAGCTGGTGGTCTGAGTTGTAGGTCTTAGAAACCGACCTGTGGGCTCCCTAGCGAACTGTGGGGACTCTGCGTGTAAAACTTTGGGGGCGCCTCCAGGTGTGGATGTAGGGTTTAGGGTTTAGGGTTTAGGGTTTAGGGTTTGGGGTTTAGGGTTTAGGGTTAGGGTTTATTTCAGGGTTTAGGGTTTAGGGTTTAGGGTTTAGGGTTATCAGCTACAGAAACCACGGGCTCTCCACTTGCCCCAAACTGGGCCAAGTGGCAGGGTGCGCGTAAGTCAAGGCGACCTCTGGGGATCTTGGGGTTCAGGGTTTCTAGGGTTTCTAGGGTTTATAGGGTTTATAGGGTTTCTAGGGTTTCTAGGGTTTCTAGGGTTTCTAGGGTTTCTAGGGTTTCTAGGGTTTCTAGGGTTTCTAGCGTTTCTAGGGTTTCTAGGGTTTCTAGGGTTTCTAGGGTTTATAGGGTTTATAGGGTTTAAAGGGTTTATAGGATTTATAGGGTTGATTCTAGGGTTTATAGGGTTTATAGGGTTTGTAGGGTTTATAGGGTTTCTAGGTTTTCTAGGGTTTATAGGGTTTGGGGTAGGGTTTGGGGTTTAGGGTTCAGGGTTTACGCTTGAACATTTCAGGATGTTGGGGGGACAGCTGCGACGGTGGTTCATTACGGGCCGCCGAGGGAAGCGGGCCAAGAAAAATATTCAGGGTCAGGCATGCCCCGCCTGAAAAACCCCCGCAACACCTGCCTTCCACCACCCTTATACCTCCCTTCTGCCCCCCCTTATCAAAAGCCTTCGACCCCCCTTATCCCCCTTATACCCGAAGCTCAGTCTGGCGCAACTCGGATGGCCTCATCGCTGCCTTTCGCGACTTCGTCCACCTTGCCCTCGACGATGAGAGCTGGCAAGGGCAGCCTACAGCGGGATGAGGAAGCCAGGAAGAGCCAGGAAGCCCGTTTGATGACAAGATGCGGCCGTGAACCCTAAACACTAAACCCTAAACCCTGAACCCTAAAAACCCTAAACCTTACAGCCGGAAGCCTGGACCCCTGAACCCTAAAAAACCCTAAACCTTACAGCCGGAAGCCTGGACCTATCTGGAAGTATAGCTGTAGCCGCCAAGCATCTGGTACTCGAAGAGCTCCGGCGTCTGCCCCACCCAACCAGGCTTGTTACTGCAGAGGTGCACCACGCAGTGCAGCGGATGTCCCTGGCCTGCCACAGGGGTTTAGGGTTTAGGGTTTAGGGTTTAGGGTTTAGGGTTTAGGATTGAGGGTTGCTTTCCTTTCCTTTCCTTCGGATTTGGGCCTCGGCTTTTGGTACCTGGAGTGGGGTGACTTGGAGCGAGTCCCGAATCAGCCCCTGAATCAAACCAGTGCCCCTAAATCAAAGACGTCGCACGGGACCACTAGAACACCAGGCTACATGACCATGAAAAAACACACATACTTTACATGAATAAACAAACAGATAGATGAGCATCAAACAACAACAGCTGTATAAATTGCGTATATACATATACATATACATGTATACATACATACATACATACATACATACATACATACATACATCCATGCATACATCCATGCATACATACATACATACAATATATACATATATGAGCACATATATACATATATACATATCTACGTATACACATATGCACATATATACACGTATACATATCTACATATGTACATATGCACATATGTACACATATACATATATACATATATACATATATACATATATACATATATACATATATACATATATACATATATACATATATACATATCTACATATCTACATGTATACATATATACATATATACATATATACATATCTACATGTATACATATGCACATTTATACACATATACATATATACATATATACTTACATATATACTACTTATAATGAAATTAAAAATAAAAATAGGCAATAATAATAACAGTAACATCAACACAAACCTAGTGTCACACACACATACACACACACACATATATATATATATATATATATATATATATATGTATACATATATGCTTTAAGATGTCATCTTCTATATATATATATATATAATGTCACACACACACATATATATATATATATGTAATATACATTAGGCCTGGCCTAAAGTGCCTGAAGCCGCCAAAGGGTGGCAGAGGTTGCTGCCCTGGCTGAAGCCCAGCAGCCTTGGAAGCCGGAGCTGCGGTTTAGGGTTTAGGGTTTAGGGTTTAGGGTTTAGGGTTTAGGGTTTAGGGTTTAGGGTTTAGGGTGTCGGTTTCGGGCTTAGAAGCTCAATCAACAACCCGCTCAAACCCTACAAACAACGTTAAATGAAGGTGTGTCTCTCCCCTTTAGAGTGCACATCGAGGTAGCCTATAAGGCCCTGAAGAACCTTATATGTTGCAAGGCAGCCTGCAAGACTCTCACTGCACTGGAGTGCAGGTGCTTTTTGGGTAGCCCGTAGTTGTCTGGTTTAATCTTTTCTAGTAAAGATTCAAAATCGAGTATTTTATTGGTATTACTTCTATTTGTACTACTGACCATTCAGTATGATCAATGTTGCTTGATATTTATTGTTTTGTAAACACATTACTACGTTATCTATGTAGGGGAGTTAACACTAATAAGGGACCCCGAATCCAGACCCCCAAATAGTAGGATTCCCATATCATAAGGACCCTGATAAGGTACCCCCAAATATCATCAACCCCACGAAGATCGATTACAACCTGTTCTGGCTCAGAACCCTAGAGTTGACGTCGAGCATCCCATCGATGGGCGCATGCTTAGCCATCGCCTCCTGGGCAAACTCCATGGCTCTCTCCCAGCCACCATACCTGGTCCCGGGGATTCCAAGGTAAAGGGCCAGCAGGCCCACAGGGTTTAGGGTTCAGATCCAAGGCGATCTGGGGGCTTGGTAGCTTCAGATCTTGCAGAAGGCGAAGCCACGGCACAAGGTACCAAGACTCAGCTATCACTCCGCCTGCCACTCTGTCTCTACTGGGCAGTGCAGCTTATCAAGCAAGTAGCCGTCGCCAGCCAGTCTCCTCCCCCAAAGGCTCAGCCCACTGCTTGAACCTGCAGCATCATGCAGCGGCCAGAGCCCATGTGCTTCCTTGTTGACTCCTATGCTCCGCGGTCAGAACTTGGACAAGGGGTGCTACAAGGTTCCCCTTGTCTACCACACATACGGTATAACCACACTTAAGGAATCTCCTCCTTCCGCAAAATTGGGGACGCTTAAGTGTTAGAAACTCCCGCACGTATTGCGCTAAGGCAAGGCAGATAAGCAGGAGTTGCCGTCGAGCATCTTCTCATCTGGGAAGTACTGCCTGGCCCACGTCTGTTTTTGGGGTTCCTAGATTCAGGTACGGAGCCTGATAGGATGCCCCAAAAGCCCATCAACCCCTTAGGAACCCCATGTAACCCTAAACCCTGTCAGGTCAAAGACGCGCATTCGCACCAGCTTTCGCAAGAGGAGCCTAAACCCTAAACCCTAAACCCTAAACCTTAAACCCGGGACTTATAGGGGCCTCAAAGGAGGCGCGCATCCTCAGCCGGTGACCCTCAAAAATGGCCGGTAAGGTCGGACTCCAACCCTAAAAATCCCAAAATGCCACCCTCAACCCCCTAATCCCGAACAACCCTAAACCCTAAACCCCAAACCCTAAACTTTAAACCCTAATTCCTAGGCCTCGCATTCCGAAAGTTCGCCGGGTCGCTTCATGAGCTCAACCTGCTTGGCCACGATGGGATTCTTCAGGTCACAGTCGACGCAGCCGTCTTGAAAAACGAACTCGATTTCATCCTTCTTGCGGGCTTCACGTATGCAGCAAAACATGGCAAGCTGAAGGAGAAACACCAATCAGCCACAAAAGAACGAAGGGATGCCATGAAGGCAGTTCTGATCCCCAAAGCCCTCTATTCCTCCTCTTTGAACCCTAAACCTAAACCGCCTAAACCCTAAACCCCAAACCCCAAACCCTAAACCCTAGTCCCTAAACCCTAAACCCTACACCCTAAGCCCTAAACCCTAAATGGCAGTAAATATGACCAGTGAGAGGAATCGATGCTGTCTTCTGCCATGCATCGGCTGCACGCTTGATCAGCGGTGCCAGCTGCGCCCTGCACTTGAAAGGCACTTAAAGGCACTCCAAAGCCACTTTTAAAGTAAATGGGGGTTTAGGGTTTAGGGTTTAGGGTTCAGGGTTCAGGGTTTAGGGATCGAGGCTTGCAAGACACAGGTCGCTGCTTGGAGGACTGGAACTTGATGGTTGTGGTGTGTCTGGGCTGAGAAGCTCGAGAGGCCAGTATGTGAAGACGACTGTCGGCACCACCGTCGCGTGCTATCTACCGGCACAGGTTGAAATCGTACTAACAATCCTCAATAGGGATGATAGTAGGGGGTACTCTAATCCCTATTAAGGACTGCTAGTATAACGGGGAACATCCCAAGGCGCAGGTCTCTTTTTGGGGCTTTGGCAGCTTTGTATGACTCGAGAACATGGGCTCAAGCCCTGATCCTACTCACTGAGCATCTGCTTATGTGCCGTTGGTCTTCCCGGCTCCAGGCGTCTTGAAGGCCATCACGGTTCCTAAAACTAGACCCTGAACCCTGAACCCTAACCCTACACCCAGGCCATGCATGAGCGGCCCAAGCGAAGAGAGCCCAAAGAGTCGACGTCAACTGAGTAGTTGGGGTGTAGAGTCCAGGGAGACATCCACCAATCCCCAAAAAACCTTGTGTTCGAAGATGAACACCCTACAAAACAACGCAGAACCCTGTAATCTGTAGCTAACCCCGATACTTGTCCCCATATCCGAAACCGTTGCGCCAGAAACCGCTGCCCGTAGCCCGTAAACCACAGGCCCTAACGAGCCTCAGGACTTTCTCCGTGGAGGCTGTGCCATGGAGACACAGGACTCCTTGGCTGGCAGTTTCATTGGGGTTGGGCTAGTTTTCGGGGGCAAACAGGGTTTGTGGGCGCTGCTGCTGTCACTCCTAGCTCTTGACCCGCCCGACCCTTCTCCCCACTTAGTGGTCGTGCCGCAACGCAAAGGTTATGCAGGTTCATGGATAGCCATAAATGGGCAGCTGCGAGGGAGCCATGACGAAAATGTTTCTGCTACTCATCGCGACACATCTGAACATGCTGGTGACTATGTTGAAGACAACCATCATGAACGGAACCATGTGAGCAACTAATATTCGCCGGGCCGTGGCCCCGGTCGTCACCAGGTCAAACGGAGCGCGATTGTGCAAAACGTCTTTAGTCCAACAATACTGTGCGACCCTCTTGATAGCCCACTAGCTACAAAGGGGTGCTCTTCTGGGGTTGATTACTTTACACGGGAACCTAGAAAAAGGTAAAAGGGTCGGGTGTAGGGGCTAATCCTAAACCCTAACCCCTAAACTCTATTGACTAGGATGGCCCCTTAAACACCTGCTGAAAAATATTCGGGAGAGTCGAATATATCCCCGAACGAACTCCAAAACCTGCACCCGGATTCCCTACCCAGACGAGAAAATAGCAAACCCAAAGCCCTGATGACCTCTCTCCCACAACAGCTAGGGGGAAGGAACAAAAACCCCAAAAAAACACTAAACCCCCAAGAAGCCCTTATCCCTAAACCCTAAACCCCAAACCTCAAACCCTACACCCTGGAGCCCCATAAAGAAGCGCCGCCCCGGCGCGCACCTTTCGGCCCTCCACCGGCCGCAGGGCGGGCCCAAAGGCCTTCGCAGCCCGGCCCGCCTCAACCGCCTCACAGTTTTAAGGGTCCTTTAGGGGTTTAGGGTTTAGGGTTTAGGTTTTTAGGGGCTTTGAGGTCTTGCTCTTCCTTCTTTGGGGGGAGAGGGGTTAGGGTTGAGTCTTCTTTGGTTGGGCATGCAGGCTTCTTTTTGGAGGGCTTAGGGACCCTTAGGGATTTCAGGCTTTTTCGGCTGTTTTTTTTGGAATGTTTTTGGTTTGGTTTGGGGTTTGGGTGTTGTCTTAGGTTTGGGGCCTTTTGGGGTTTAAGGGCTGCTGTTCGGGTTGTGGGGTTGGGCTTCGAGTGTTTTGGGTTTGGGGTTGCTGGTTTAGGGCCTAGCCCGATACATCCAGTACTTTCTGTGGCCATAAAGGCTCCAGGAACGTAATTCTAGGGTCCCTGGAAGGATAGATAGTGCAGGGTGTTTGGCAAATTTGGGGAATGTCGGGTTCAGGGCTTCAAGCTAGGGTTAGGGCTTAGGGTTTCGGGGGTGTTGGCCCTAAACCCTCAGCCACAAAACCCGGCTCGCGAGTTCACAGCAGAGGGCAACCGGAACAGAACAGATGGTGCAAGCTTCCGTGCTGACCCCCCGGCCCCGGGTTCAGATTTCATTGATGGGTGGCTGAGGGCTGAGGGCGGGGAGGTTAGGGCCCCACGAATGAGGTTATCGTCGGCTAGAACTCTAGTTGCCCTACTCAACGCCCAAGCCATCACCAACTTCACAAAAACGTCCCCAAGCCCTACTTACTTGCAGGTTCATGGCAAGTTCTGGGCAGGGCTATCAAAGTACCCTAAATAAACTCATGGCCATCCAAACCTCCACTTACCCTACCGCGACCTAGATATATGAACCCATGAAGCTCCCGAAACCCGAAATCGAAAAAAAAAACGAAACCCTTGTCTAGGACGGCCCTTAAGACCCTCTGAAGAATATGACCCTCTTAAACCCAAATAAGGGGAAATTAAAAAAAAACATCCCCAGGGTCTCCCTAGCATCTTTTTTTGCGAAGAGGCCTTGGGCGCCAGTACCGGCGCCGGCCTGTTCTCCAGGCTATTTGGGCTGCGGTGGTTAGAGGAGGCCCCCTCCCAAACTATCGCAAAGATCAGAGAGGAGGTCATTGGTTTTGAGTTTAGGGTCTGCAAGGCTTGGGGTATAGGATTTAGGGTTAGGGGGCTAGGGTTTAGGCTCGAGGATTTGGGGTTTGGGGATTAGTTTAGGGTTTAACGGTTTAACACGCAGGTCTTGGGGGTGTGGGGGGTAGTAGCGGGTGGGTGGGGAGGGAAAACATGGCGCCTCTATGGGCTTTGCTTTTAAAGAATCACTATGGTTTACGGTGCGTCGCTCAGGGTTTTGTAGGGTGTATGGGGTTTCAGGTTTTGGCACGGCTGTGGACTGCGCGTACGCGCGAAAATCCTGAACTTGAATCCCTCCTACGACTAGAACCAAAGACCTTGAACCCCAAGCCCTGCCTAGCATCCTTAAAAACCGAGTTTGAAACCCAAAGCCTAGTTAGAACACCCTAAACCCTAAACCCTAAACCCTAAACCCTAAACCCTAAACCCTAAACCCTAACCCTAAACCCTAAACCCTAAACCCAAAGCCTATTTAAAACAAAAGACCATGCTTCGAGGGGGACCGAAGCCGAATTGCATCCCAGCTGCTCCATGAGCACTTTGTCCTTGACCTTGAGGCTCACCTGGGGACGCTTGGAGTGTATTTATTCATGAATATATGCTGGTGATTTAAAAATTCTTTGTTGAATATGTAACTAGTACTAGTATTATTATATATTATTCTTATTGTTGTTAGTGGTTTGTTTTTGTTGTGTTTTTTTTGGGTGGGGGTGTCTAAGGTGGCCGATTGTATACCCCTGAAAAAAAACCTGCTTTGAAAGTGTATCGGTTGCCGTACTGTACTTCGAAAATCTCACTCGGCGCCAAATCCGAAGAAAAGGAGCGCGGCACCGGTGAGACAAACTCGAACATAGAAACTACGGGGGGGGGGGGGGGGGGGGGGGGGGGTGGGGAGGGGGGGGGGGGGGTTGTATCTGTACAAGAGGCATG